TTGTGCCAGGATATTCCACCTTGTTGGCACCTTTGACTGACCTCTTGCAAAAGGGGAAGAAGTGGACATGGAGTGAGGAGTGTGAGAGCGCCTTCTCCCAAGTCAAGGAAGTCTTGTGCGGCCAGCCGGTTTTACGGGCACCGGACTTTACTAGGCCTTTTGCTTTGGCGGTTGATGCTAGCCAGGCAGGGGTGGGCGCAGTTCTCATGCAGCCCGACGAACAACAAGTAAATCATCCTGTCTGTTACTTCTCTAGGAAGTTTACTCCCGCCCAAAGGAACTACTCAGTCATTGAGCAAGAGTTACTGGCCATTCTTTCGGCTCTGCAGCATTTCGAAATCTATGTCCCGGCCTATGGTCCCCTAGTTACCATCTATTCTGACCATAGTCCTTTGCAATTTCTGGATAAATTCAAATTCAAAAATGTGCGACTCACTCGATGGAGTTTACTTTTGCAGGAATATAACCTGGAGGTCCGCCACATTAAGGGAGTAGATAATGTTGTGGCCGACTGTTTGTCGCGAGCCACTGAATAACTCGAGCAGCTAGAAAAGTTTGATAAGTCTGTCAGACTTATAAAATTTTTCTTTTAAGGGGGGGCGTGTTGCGGGCCCCCACCCGCAGAAGAAGTGTGGGCCTTGGTGAGGCTGGGAATCAGCCGTGAGAAAGGGTAGATAAGGCGAGAGGCCCGGGCGTAGTGTTGCCAGCTTGTGGTTTGAGACGAAGTCGGGCAGTGGCGTTTCACTTTAAGTTCGGTCTTCTCCTTCTCCTAATTTTCCTGACTTTCCTTCCTTCCTCTTTGTTCTACAAAGTGTTTGATCTTGTAGTTCATCCTTTTCTGTTTCCTCTCATATGCTTATTATCGTGCTGTGTTGTTTAGAAGCGGAGATATGATTTAATGAAGGAAGTGTTTTAAACTAGGCTATTGCGAACGAGAGTTGGAGCGAGCAGCGAGGAGAGAGAGAGAGAGGAAAATGTTTATTCTATGATAAGGCGGCCCGGGCAGTATATAGTGGCTTGACGAGAGCAGGAGTGTGTGTGAGAGTTTAGTTCACTTCTAGACGCGACGGTGAAAGCATGTTTGCTCTGAGCTCTGCTCGAATTGTCATAATTTCACTTGTAACCTCCTCGCGTTAAAGGCAATGGATTGTAATACTGGCCTGGTAGTTCTGTTGTCATCTGAGTAGTCAGACGGTAAGGCCCTGTCTATACGAGGACCAGGTTACGCTGCCAAAAGAGCTGTGACGAGCGTGTGGTGGTTCGTATAACCATCACACCGAGGTGACTCCACCTAGAGGGATCAGTACCAGGGAGTCCTTATAAGGAGGATCTGGATACTGTCAGGGTTTCGAGTCCAGGGAAGTCTGTTTTGTCGGCGTTGTCGTCGTTGTCTGTTTTGTCGGCGTTGTCTTCGTTGTCGGCGTTGTCTTCGTTGTCGGCGTTGTCGGCGTTGTCTTCGTTGT